ATTTTACTGAATTTATTCATAAAAATCATGTATTGACGACTGTCATCATTAAACTATTGTGAATTTCAATGTTGTACCCTTTCTCTGATAGTTGTCTCGTGTAAGCATGAGAGTGCAACCTAAGAGGGGGGTAAATTAAGTTTTAAGACTTTTTCATCTATTTTAGAGATGTTTCTTATGTTCTTATTTGTCCAGAAAAATTTCGATGAACTTATGAAGTAAAGTGCAGAAAAATAAATGCAGAACATAAATAACACAATGATATATACTTGTTCCATTTTTTAATCAAGGGTATTTCTAGTCCTCTCACACCCCGTGAGAGATTTTCACTATTGTTAGATCTTTGTACAAGTCTTCCACTAATAAAACTCTTACAAGTCTTCAACTATGTGTTCTCTTACCACTTCGAATTTCTTGATTAGAGCATCATCTTCATCACTATTGAATTGAGATTCATCCTCTTGATTACTATCATGGTCCCTAACTCTATTTTCCAAGGCAACATTTTTATAATTTTTCTTGATCTTCATGCTTCTCCAATCTTTCAAGTTTTATCTCATGTTGTTGTAATTTGTCGAACAATGTTGTTGAAGACATTTTAGAGAGACTTTTCTTTTTTGATATTGATGTCACTTTTGGTTGCCATGACTTTGTCAAAGATCTTAGAACCTTGAGATTCAAATTGTAATTTGTAAAAAAAATTCCAAGATCAATCAAGTGATTTGTTAAGTGAGTGAATCTCTTTTGCAAATCCAGAATTGATTCACGGGGCTTCATTATAAACATTTCTTATTCTTGTGATAAAGTGTTTAATTTAGATATTTTTACCTTTATCATTCCTTCATGTGTTACTTCTAGAGTATCTCAAATCTCTTTTGTTTATTTTATAATGAGATATATGAAAAAATTCTTCTGTACCTAAGTCTGATTAAAGCATGTCCTTTTCCTTTTTGTCAAATAGTACTTTCGTTTTATCATCATCATCATCATTCCAAGAGCCTTTTACTTTTTCTTGTTCTACATTATTGATGAATGTATTATGAATGTTTGGACCATTTTCTACACCATTCCATATATCTTCTCCTTTTGTTTCCATATAGGCTTGCATGTAAATCTTCCAAAATCATATGGTTCACCAACAAAGCATGGAGGTTTGATGTTATTGCCACCATCTCTAAAAATTGGATATGTGGAAGCCATAATTTCCGGATTAAGGTCTAAGTTACCTTAACTTACTTTGAGGCTAATGTAAGTATGAGAGTGAAACCTAATAATGGGGTGAATTAGGTTTTAATACTTTTTTAGTTATTTTAGAGATGGTTCTTATGTTCTTATTTTTTTGGAAAAATTTCGGTGAATGTAAAGAACACAAAGATATATACTAGTCCCCTTTCCAATCAAGGGTGCATCTAGTCCATTCACACTCTGTGAGAGATTTTCACTATTTTTAGATCTTTGTAAAAGCCTACCATTAATACTTCTCTTACAATCTTCTAACAACAACAAATAAGCACACCACTTTCTTAGTTTCCAAAAACACTAACAATTATGTTGGACTTTGAATCACCCCAATTCAAAGGAATTTTTCCAACAGACAAAAACACACTCATTCCTATTTGCAAACACCTGTAGAAAGTACAACCATTTTCTTACAAATAAAAATCACCACACACTTGGTGAATATTACAACAAAAATATAAACTTAATACATATACACTTTGCAGCAGACTTGATAAATTTGAGAGTTTTGTTGCTTTTTTGATATCTTGAAAATTTTCATCTTGGTCTCCTTCAATGAACAATTCAAGAGTATGTAAAATTCAAGTGCTCAAGTGTTTTTACTAAATTCTTTACATATGAATGCAAATTGTGCAAGAAAAAGTTTCTCTGTTAATATTTTGCTGACACTTGAACATATGAAAATTGTTCATGAAAAAGGTGAATTTTACTGTCAAATGATTCTTCTATTTATACATCATAAGACACCATTTTGAAAAGGCTTGCAATGCTTGAAAATAATTAGAAATAATTTGTAATGCTTCAGAAAAATCATTCATGACAAAATGCAATAAAGAGGTATCATGTTGTTTCATAATTTTCCAAAAGACGCATAAGTAAATCGATTTACTTGATGACGTTAATGATACACCATTCCTCGACGTGAAAAAAATATGTGAAAACACTAGGTTAATCGATTTACTTGGGAAGGGTAATCGATTTACATAGTTGAAATGCCATGGTAAATTGATTTACTTGACATGTTAATCGATTAACCTCTTTGAAAAACATAAATTTCATTTTAACAGAACCAATGTAAATCGATTTACATGATAAGGTTAATCGATTTACCTTAATAAAAACTTGAAAGTATTATAAGTTTAAATAAAACTCAATTTTGAAACTTAAGCATACATCAAGGTTAATGATTAATTCTTGAGCACCTAATACCTATAACAACTAAATTCCACATTGTACCTTGGTTTATGACCCAATTGCATTGAAATCCAAAACCTATTCAAACTGGATACTTTGATTCCAATCTTTTTCTTCTTTGATCTTTTTTATAAGATAGTATTTTGTCTTCATCAAAACCAAGTTATGATAGATGATGAAAATCTTATTCACAACTGTTAACAACTATAATTTTTCCTTTCTAGATTATAGTTACCTATTCCTCGACCATAATTGTTAAATCCAAAATTATTTCCATCTCTTCATTGATTTGATGGATTGAAGTTATTTTTTCTTCATTTATTTTAGTTTTCACATCCTCTTCCTCTATAATTTATTTGTCCTCTTCCGCTATAATTTCCTCTTCGTATGTTTTTGTAATTATTTTGATCTCTTTCTTCTATAGTACGGCTTCATTCAACAATGTTGTTGGAATTTATTTGACTCTTGAGAGCTTTGTCTTTTACTACTTTCTCAATCTTTTTTAATATTATGTTTACATGAATTTCAATGTTTCCATGTAACTTTACTACAAACAAAGTCTATGTGTTATGGGACTTAATTAGTGTAGTCACCACATGGTCAAACTTCATCGGCATCGTACAACAAATATTTTCTACCACTTTGATTTCTGGAATATCTTCTCCATATACTCTCATTATGTTGACAAGATTTGATAACACAGGAAAATATTGTTCTATAGTTTTTGAATTAGACATTTCGTACATTTCATATTCTCTACATAGATATTGTAATTAGGATTTCTAAGCCTTCTCTACTCCTTTATGTGACAATTTCAATATGTCACACGCTTCTTTAGAAGTCTTTGTTGTGCTAAAGGGGGTACTTATTCAAGTCCCACAACGAGTAATGTGAAGAAAAATGAGTAAAAGGTTATTATAAATATAGAGAGTTAGTTTGAGTTTATTTACCATAATAATTATAGTCTTTGGGTGTATTGGGGATTTTGATAGATGTGTGTCTAGAGAGGGTTTACAATATTTCCGTACAAAAATTGTGGTTGAGAGGGTTTTCTATTTTTTCGTCCATAGATAGTTGTTGAGAGGGTTTTCTATTTTTCCATTCAAAAATAGTTGTTGAGAGGGTTTGCAATTTTTCCGTCCAAAAATTGCAAGTTAGTAATAAATGTTTTAATTGGGAGTTTATTTTATTTTATTTGTATTAATTTTTGGAGATTTACTTTGGATATATTCCCAACAAATGGCATCAGAGCAAAGGTTCCGGTCAAGGGAGGAAATCACAGGTTTGATATCATCTTATTTGATTTGAGTTTTATTTTTATTAAACAATATTATGGCTACATTGAAGTTGGATATTCCTTTGTTTGATGGAAGAATGGATTTCCCCTTATGGCAATGCACTATACAAGACTATTTGGTCCAACAGGGTCTTGATTGAGCTTTGGAAAAGGAAAAACTAAATGAGATGAAAGAATCAGATTGGAATTCAATATAAAAAAGACAGTGGGTTCAATTCGGTTGGCACTTACTCCATAGATTAAAGTGACTGTGCTGAAAGAAACATCTCCAAAGAAATTATGGGATTTATTAGAGAGCAAGTTTGCATCAACCACATTAACCAATCGATTAATGATGAAAATGAATTTATACTCATTGAAGATGGAAGATGAAGGTAATGTATTTGCCCATATTAATAAATTTAATGAGTTGGTATCTAGAATTATGAATGCAAGGGAAGATATCAAAGATGAAGAGTAAGTGCTACTTTTGTTGGCTTCACAACCCAAATCTTACAAATCATTAGTGCAATCAATATTAGCAGGGAAGACCACACTACAATTAGATGAAGTAGTGAAATCATTGAAGGAGAATCAACAAATGATGAGTATTGATCAGTCTTCTGAATAAAATCATGTACTAGTAGCCAAAGGAAGACAAAGAAAGAACTATGGTGATTAATATGGTAGAAGTTTTAAAACAAGAGATATGAGTTCTATCAAGAGTCATTATTATCAACAATTTGGTCACATGCAATCTAGATGCCCATAATTTATAGAGGATGTGCGGAGCATAATGAAGAAGACAGTAGAATTGAAAAGTGCTCCTTCTGCAAATATGGTTAGTTGTGAAGATGATCTTTTAGTTTGTGAGGATGAAGGTTGTAACATCCCAATTCTACCCAACGGTATTTATAATAAAATCAGAGTAATAAAATTCCAAACATAAATTGAGGCATCACATATTCATGGTTTTTCACTTTGCATTTTAATGCAACAACACAACAATCAAAAGTCGGATATACCGATCGCATCATCATATATCATGTAAGCATATAATTATGCACAAGGCAGCGGAATCCATCAACGTCATACCATATAAGGCATATACATCTCCAAAATAATAATATCATGTTATGAACATAAACATGTCAAAATGCAACATATTCCACATATACAACAATAGGATATACATGTATGCTATCCTAAACAGAATAGTCAAAAGCGCCCCATTCCCGAGTGTTACGCTAATTAGAGCAGAGGCGACACAAAAAGACTCGAGCTAATCTATTCATCCACGAGGATCCCCTGCACGTTACCAGTATAAAGGCAACGGCGAAACAAGTAAAGGGTGAGATAATTCAATCATATAAATAAAGGAATGATAAATAATATATAGTTTTCGAGTTATTAAAGAATACGGTAATAAATATTATCCAGCATACATTCCAATCTCACACCTTCATTTACCAAATTAATTCGCCTATTCAGCACCATAACCTCATCATAAAATCAATCACAATCAATGCATCGCACAATCATTCAACAACATCAACAACATAAACCCTGACGACACAATGAATATAAATGTGACTCGATAATGTTTATGCATGTGGTACCCGAGGCTACAGCCCCTTTCGCTATTTCCCGCAATTAGAGGCCATCATCATCATTTGCCATTAAGGCCGAGGCTACAGCCCCATTCGCTTATGCTGACATATGTGACTCCATGTACACGACTCACATATTCAGCAACAACAACAATCAACAACAACATCATTGGCATAAGCCTTCAACAACTCGTTTACCCAATACCAAGGTAAAACGATCAACAACAACATATTTTGCATTATGCAAATCATCAACAACAATTCATCAATCGCCAAAATCATGCATTCAATTAATAGAAGCGTATCAACAATATTCATAATTTAATTAATTCCGGATATGAATTAATATTCACCAAAAATATACTTGTCATAAAAAAATCATCCCAAAATAATCGGCATTAATAATATTATTAACATCACAACCGAGTTGCCAAAACGCAACTCGAACCGACTAATTCGGACCCGTTTCTATCATTTACCAGTTATCAGAATTACCGTTTAAATTCAATGTATTTCATATTATATATTAATATTATATTATCAATAGCGTAATCAATATATATACTCAATGATATCTCGCAACAACAACACAAAAATAACACAACATTGGTCATAAGACCTATAATCAACAATGTCCATAAACCGAACAAAACAAATTACCCAGCTGTACCGGCAAGTCGGCGTAATCGACATAATTTCAATAAAATGACATAACCACATTTACCTACTAATTAAACTTAGTTACCCTGTCAAATTTCGTTAAATTACGGACAACTAATTATACCGCCTAATTTGGCTAATTCGACCAAACGGGACTGTTTTCAACTTTCAGCATCTTGTTACTAATAATACTTTGCTACTAATTAATCGTATCTACCAATTTTATCATTTACTAAAAGTTCCTGTACAACATTGGCTTTGTTTCTACTATTGTTCTACTACTATTATAAACATGGCAAGCATTTTATTCTGTCATTGTTATTATGCAGTACCAAAATATTACTTCATTACCACTTGTACTACTTTATTTATTTAATGCCAAGCAATATTTGATCTCATGCTAGTTATAATATCTAAGTGTATTGTTTATAGTGCTACTTCTCCAAAACAACTTTCCATTTCAACAACATAATCTAACCATAAAAAAAAATCAAGAAATTTCAAGAACAACCCCCAAATCTTCACAACCATAACTCATATAAAACCTATCATTAATCTATTTATAGAATAGAAATTATCAAATCCCTTACCTCTTGATGTTCTTACTGTTTTCCTCTTGATGTTCCTCTCCAATCCACAGACCCTAGCTTTGTTCTTGATATTTTTCCTCTTCTTTCTCCAAACCCTTTTTTTTTCTTCCTTTTCTCTCTATCTATTCTGTTTCTGTTTTTCTTTCTGATACTTCTCAAAACAACAACAACCTAACCCACCCCACTTATAACAATACTTACTTATTATATTATAGTATTTATATTATATTATTTTTGTTTTACTTACTTCTGTTATATATAAACATATATACATAACGTACTGCTACTTAATATATATATATATATATATATATATATATATATTGTTATTATAATCTAACAAATATTATTATTATCAAATAACATAATAAATACACCACTTAATCAATTAATTCCGAATAAATAAATATCGGTCCGATTAATTATCGCCGAATATATTAATAAATATACCGGTTAAAATATAATATTTTCACGAAATCATTATTAATCAAAGATTTTGAAAATAGTAAAATAAATACGACACTTAATAAAAATCGGGGCGTTACAAAGGTGACTATGAAGTGAAGAGATGTGAGACTTTGAAGGAAGGGGTGATTTGTTGTGCTAAAGTGGATACTCATCCAAGTCTCACGTCGAGTAATGTGAAGAAAAAAGGAGTAAAAGGTTATTATAAATATAGAAAGATAGTTTGAGTTTATTTACCACAACAATTCTAGTCTTTTTGGTGTATTGGAGATTTAGGAAGTTGTGTATCTAGAGAGGGTTTACAATCTTTCCATACAAAAATTATGGTTGAGAGGGTTTTATATTTTTCCGTTCAAAAATAATTATTGAGAGAGTTTTCTATTTTTTCGTTCAAAAATAGTTGAGAGGGTTTGTAATTTTTCCGTCCAAAAATTGCAAGTTAGTAATAAATTTCTGACTGAGAGTTTATTTTATTTATATTAAATTTTAGAGATTTACTTTTCTTTTCTTTTTTTATATAATCTCAACAGTCTTGGCATTTGTTATTTTTTTAAATATTGAGTAATTTATTCTTTGATGAATATGTGAAAGTGTCTTCTACGAGCAACTTCATTGACTCTTTTTATAATTCAAGATCTATAAAACTTCAAACATTATAAACTTTTAGATGTGTTATCATAAAAAATTTCAATAACTAAAATTTAATTTTACATTTAATTTTAAATCGGATAAGACAAAATTATAATTATTTATCATATCTCTCTCACAAAAATAATCACAATAATTTTTGACACAATGTAAACTATTTTATTCTCCATACACTTAAAATATTTTTGACATTCATACTAATAGAACCTAACCTACCCTAATATCAATTTGATATCAATGGGACATATATAAACTCAAAAAGAAGAAAGAGCAAGAGGAAGTGAAATTTCTCAATACTATTTGATTTACAAAACTAGAAAGCATAGTTTACATGCCTTTATGAAAGTCTTTGGATTACAAATACTTAATGGCTAACTAGCTTGGTAAGAAAGTATCCTTGAGGCGGTGATGTAACTCGGTCCACTAGTTTTCTCTCATAATGTGCAAGATTAATTATTTAACTTGGACAAACTCTTCAAAATTTAACTTTTTTATTTTACAATGACAAAATTAAAATTTTTATATAATTGTAATTTTTTAAGAGAAAAATGCAAGTCTTTCTAATTGCAAATTTTAAAAAGAAAATTTTAAAACCTACGGAAAAATTATAAATTCTTTCTCAACTATAATTTTGAACAGAAAAATTGTAAACTCTCTTAATAAATTATTTTTGAATGGAAAAATAGAAAATTCTCTCAATAAATTATTTTTAAATAAAAAAATAGAAAATTTTCTCACTCAAAAAATTACATTATATTATATTATATTATATTGTTGCGTAAAAAATTCAAATTAACTATCTTTATTTATATTAATACTTAAATTTATTTTCTTTATTCTAGTTAATGTAACCCAACATTTAATACGAAGTTGAATTTCCTCTACTTTTTTCCTTCTATTTCTCTTCTCCCTCTCCATCTCTCTATTTTAATCTTACTTTCTTTTTTTCCTATACAATCATTTTTGCTTTAGAAAAAGAGTGAAAATAAGAAAGAGATATAAAAGAATGAAAAAATAAAAGAAAAATAGAAGGAGAGGATCCGAAGTCCAATTTAAATCAATATATTTAAAATTATTTCAAAATACAAATGTAAGAGCTGTTATTTAGTATTTTCCTTTTCCTTATTAAGTTCTAAATGTTCCTTATATATACCAATCCAGAGGTGGAGTTCTAGTAGTTAGTTCCTTTACAAAGTAAAAAGAGAATATAAATTGACATCAAGTTATAGTATGCTTCATTTTTATCAAGAACATAATATCTTGAAACTAACTGGATTATTCCATGTACTTGATCAGGATTTTTTTCATTTCCAGTTGTAGTATATGTCTTAGGTGTCTTTGTTTTTATCAGCCTCAATTTCATGTTGCATGCATCGAATCATTTCTCTTCATTAATATGGATTTGCAACTCTAAAATTTCTTAGGTTTTATGTTTTAGACATAATGATATTATGCATAGCTGTAACTGCAACCATACCAATGACTAAGAAATTAAGTTTAGTAAATATATTAATTTTTATCTTATTTTTATTATATTTCTTAATTTGTATGAAAAACCTTAAAAATTTACTGACTATTATTATCCATGTTAATTTTTAAGACTCTGAATTTAATCCCTTATCTAACGTCAATGTTCTGGCCGATTTCAAGTCTGATGCATCGTGTCTACAAAATATTGTCTGATTTGGATGTAGAATCCGACATAGTATTTACAATCCAAAACAACAAATATTTTCTAACATTAAACATTAAAGACTCTAATAGTGTGAATTCCTTGTTCATAAATGAAATAAACTTGTACATCTTCATACTTAGAGATTTAATCCAGAATACATGAGGATATGATCTAGGAGTACTATAAAACAATCAGAGTCAACATCATGAATAAAACAAGGTGGTCCTTGGAACTTTGAAAATCATATACTCGTTCTTTGTTAGTTAAATAAGACAAGGTGTCCATGATATTCTTAACAAAATTGAACAAGGTACTAGGTGTTCTTAATAAGATAAGGTGTCGTATCATTTGACCAGCTGTAATTGGTATTGTGTTCATTTTTCTTAAAGAAAGAGAGAGAGAACAACAACTTAAAAATCAAATCATTTAAGTGAAGTTTGATGTAATTTACTGTTTCTCTGGAAATTATTCATGTCGTAACATACCATCATATGAAGAAAACAAAAAGTATTGTGACAAATTTTTATTTCATATCTTATTTTTAATTATTTATTTTAATATGACACACAAACACGGTGACTTTACGGGTGACTTTATGGGTTTGTAGTGCGGTTGGGAAAGAATTTTAGATTAAAAAAATAATTCAAAGATTAAATCTACATTAAATTACATTTTATTTAATTTAGTTTGAACTATTCATTTAAAAAACTTAATCTAATTCAGTTTAAATCAAGAACTCAGTTGATAGTCGTACAAAGATATTTGATTGTATGTGTGCGAATTTAAACTCGTGATATCTCACTTATTTACTTATCCATTAATCTATTAGACAAAAAATGTGATTTGAATTGGATAAGTTTTATGTTGGTTCAATTTATATTTGAAAAAAGAAATCTATTGATGTTAATATTATGATTAAATAACATGTTTGATTTTTTACTATTAATAGGATATTCGTGCGTATGTATGAATACTGATTTGGGTTGGACCGGATATACCAGAAAAATTTTATATTTAATTTAAAATCGAGAAGTATTTAATATAAAATAAAAAACATATATGTTTTAATGTGGTAAAACAAAACAAAATAGTTGTTCAAAGACATTGATATGATTAAATAAAAATTAAGAATGTGTCAAAAATAATTAATATCCTATATATAAACATAAATGGGGTTAATAGATACATTTAAAAAGTCCATTTAATCAAATAAATATTAGTGATATGCAATGGTGCGTTTGTTTAGAGAGAAATGTAAAAAAATGAAAAAAGCAAGACTTAATTGGAAAAAGAAAATATAATGGATATGAGGAATGAAACGTTTTCTCCGGATTATGTGCGTATTTATGGGAATATAAAACAGTATGTTATCCAATAAAGGTAATAGGTAAATCCTCCATACTCTCTATTCTACTCTATTTCACTTTTCTCCACACACAAGTTGTATGCGGATGAAATATTAGTTTTAGTGGAGCGTCGTAGAGAATATTGAGGACGGGTTAATGGGATGTTGGTATGGTCGTTGTAGGAGTAATACATTATCCATGCGTTCACACGTTATTAGTATGTTACTAGTGCGTTCGCACAAATTTTGATATGATTATTGGTGCGTTCACACGTTAGTGGTGAGTTACCCGTGCTTTACACGTTACTAGTATATTATCCGTGCGTTTCATACGGATACTGGTGTGGTACACACGCTTTTATTTTTAAAATATAATTAAAATACCAATAAGAAAAACATAATTATTTTACTAAAATAAAATCTTATTTTTAAAATAAAAACAAGGTTTGTTATAGTAATAGAAAATTTATGCGTCCGCACGAATTCTGGTGTGTGTTTGATTGTGTTTACTAGAGAAATATTCAAATGTAATTGTAATAGTAATAAAAAATAATATAGAATGACATAATTAAAATTAAAATTCATGAATTTATATTTAAAATTATATTCCATATTGAAAAAATAAGTCAGAGGATTAGATTAAAATACTATTGTATTTATTATAATTAATGTAATATTATAAACTTTGATTTAATAGGTAAGTGGAGTAATAAAAAAAAAAGTGAAAATAGGAATTAATAAGTTAGAGTGAAATTGTCTTTAAAAAACAATGTGAGACTAAGATTTTAAAAGACAGCTTAAAAAGGAAAAACAAAATAAGAATAATTAGGTCGGAAATGGGAAACGTTGATACCATACCATTGCATGTTGAAGAAGAGGTCATGGAGTGTAGAAATGTACCTTTTGAGTGACTGGTATTGTGACACCCCAAATAATTTGATTATTAAATAATTAGAATTTTTAATTATTAATTTAATTTGGAAATTTAATTATTGGTATTTTTGGATTATTTGAATTAATTTAATTAATTAAAGGAAAGAAGTATTGGTGGTGTGAAGAGTGATTAGAGGGTGTGAGGGGTAAAATACTCTACCCTTACTAATTACTAATTTAATTATTTTATTGGAATAATAAAAGGAGTATTAAAAGGAAAAAGAAGAGAAAGAGAGTTATTTTGGAATATTCATCATACGTGCATTTGAGAAGAGGAAAAAGAAGGAGAAAACTGGAAGCGTCAGAATTCGAAGAACCCACAAGGTAAGGGGTGATTTCGATTAGTTAATTCGTATTATCGGTTTAGATATTCAATAGTATGGATCATAGTATGTTAGGGAATCCCGGTTTGGAATTCTACGGTTCCGTAGAAATGTCCCTATTGCGTCGAATTGTATGTTGAAAACCATTAGGGTGTCAGATGATAAAAAGGAATGATGAAATAATGTTGTTTGATGTTATAATGGTGCAAAATGAATGTGTTTTGGTGTTTCTCATGTTGCAATTCGTATGGGTATGTTTGGAATTGGTTTAGAATGAATAAATGCTGTCAAAAGTGCAGAATTTGACTCTGCAGGTCGTGGGAACCGGTTCCCAGTGGGGAGGAACCGGGTTCCACTGTGTGAATTTATAAAAACTGGCAAAAATGCACGTAGGAATCGGTTCCTGTATAGGTAGGAACCGGGTTCCCATACATTTTTCCAGAAGCGTGATTTTTGAACTTCGCAGGAACCGGTTCCTGCATATGTAGGAACCGGGTTCTGCTGTAACTTTTTGAAAAATATTAAACTTTGAAAATTCATAACTTTCAAACCGTAAGTCTGTTTTGAGTGCCGTTTTGGACGTTATTTCTTAAATTTAATGCTCTATTTTATAAAATTAAAAGATTTCCTAAAACCTAAAATTATTTTGAAAATGAGTCAAATCCCGGAATAAGTGATTATTGGCTAACGCACATGGGTGTGTATGTAGCAGTGAACCTGTGATGGATGGATGTATTAGTATTGTGTGAATGAAAGGCATGTTTATGTTGATAATGATGGTGTGCATGATCGTTGAGATATCATGTTTTTGGTTTTGGTTCAGTTATGATAAATTGATGTATTTCATAGACTGATTTGATGTTGCATGCTAGTGATGTGCGTGCATATGCATTGTTTTGGTGAAGTTAATTCCCATTGTGTGGAATTTGACTTGTATTGCCATTAACTGATACCCGGGTGATGATGGGTGGTTAGGCTGGATTCGTTTCCGGGTGTTTATGGACGAATCGATGGTTGCTGTATCCGGTTGATGATGGATCAGTGTTGGGTGACTTGGTCACGTGTTGGTACCACATGCATTGTGTCTGCATTTGTGTTTTCATGGAATTGTAACATGTTAGGATGTCTTCCAGTGTTACAATTCTTTGGTTGATTATTGATTTGTGCATAATGACTTGTATGATTGGAACTGCGTGTTGAATCTGAATTTATGCTAAAATGGGTGAAATAATATGCTTGTGATATAATGTTGATTGAGAAGCTTATAATGCATGTTAATTATGAGAAATCTCACCCTTACTTTAACAATTTCAGATTAAAGTTAGCAGCTCAGGAGTTGGTGAGGATGGCTCTAGAGCTATGTTACTTTAAGTCCGCGTGTCAGTGTCGTGCTCTGATAGGTTGTAACACTGGGGAACGTTTAGTTGAGGAATTAGTTATTATTCAATTGTTTCTTTGAATTTCATTGGGAATAATTATGTTTTGGTTTATTCCGTTTTGGTTATGGTATTTTTCCGCTGTGTAAGACATGGTCTTAAGTTGATTGAATTATTTGAATAATGACCCTCAGTGTAGCATGACTACTGTTTTATTGGAAGTTTTATTTATTTCATAATTGTGACATCCCTTGTTCCGTGTTAACTCTGATGGAGTATGTCTTTAATCATTGATATAATTAATATTATTCAGGGTATTTTAGAAGGGGTGTTACAGGTATGACTTTGCTAAAGATGTCAATTTGAAGGTCGGTGATACGCTACACTTTTGTATCTATTACCCCCCATGGACGAGAGCTTGGTATCAATGGAGCATGGCAATGCAACTCGTGGTTGGAGGTCATGGTAGCTTGATGTGTATGGTGCTAATAAATAGTGTGGAGGTATAGACCTGAGTTTCTGTAAATCCTTTTTATAGACACGTGAAGAAGTGAATGTTGCTGAGATGTTATGTTTAATTAGAATGATTATATGTTTAAGTCAATCTGTTAGGAGTGGTGTTATGTTTGTAATTTATAAAGTACTTGAAGTTTTTGTTGTTCTTGTGCGTTACTTTATTGAAGTTAAGATGATGTTAGGTTTGATTGCCATGGTTATTAAGTTGGTAAGTTTTTGTATGTAAGATGCATGTAGTCTGGATAGTTGTAGTAGTTTTTGGAGTATAATGAATGGATCATATTTGGCAGAACTATCTATATGAATGTAGGTTCAGTTATTGTATTTTTTTTACATGAGTGGTGTGTGATTATGTGCTATTATTTGTTTGTTAGTACCAAATTTGTGTCTGCATTGATATGTTTTGTAGAGCACGAAAAATCATGCATAAGTGATTAAGGGATCTCGTTTCTGTTTGCGATAAGTAAGTTTGTTATATTTTAATGCAATAATTATGTAGAGGTTCCAATATACCTTATAAAAGAAAAAGTGGAGAACTTTAACCACATGCATGTTGTTAAAAGCATACAACGTTAAAGGCAAAGATAGTATAATCCAAAATCCACTAAAGTTTGGTGTTTGTAATAAATAATTGAGGTGGTACTGTGGACACGTGAAACATGGAGTATGAGTACAAAATAACCAAGTATTGGATTGAGGAGCCCCATATAAATAACAATTGTTCTTTGTCTCTTGAAACGTACTAAAATTCGTCTTCTTGTTGTATATGTATGGTCACCATACAAGATCCATGGTGAGGCCTCGAAGTCTTGCTCACATGGAGCTCATAGACATATTTGAACTTGCGAAGTTATCGTGCCAAGTAAGGTTTTTTGTTAAATATGAATTGTTCTTTATCATGAAGATATACATCTGTTGTAAATTGTAATTGATGTAAATTTACAATATGGGTTATGGTTTTTCGTTTTAGTCATTTCCCGAGACTGATCCTTTGTTTGCTACAACTCACAGTGCAGATTTGAAACAAATCTGGACCATTATAGACAAAGAAGGTATCACACATTCAGTAGTATATGCTTTGTTTGCTACTATGAGGTTGTGTCACTCTGCGATGATAACAAGATGGTACAAATGCTTCTAATTTTGAACTTAGAATATCCACAGTTTACTAAGTTAGGTTATGAATGGGACCCGTTTTACAAGTCAAACCAGTTTAGACCCGGAAACAGAACACGCTTCAGGTTGGATGTAACTGATACCAACAAAGCATGTCACGTATATAAGGTTGGTTAAGCATACTTTCCATGCTCTTAGTATTTACCGTTGTAGTGTAATAAGAAGATGACATATGGTGTTGTCATGTTTGTTATAATGTTATACATATTTGCTTTATTGTCTAAGAACATGACTATGGCGCTAAGATTTTTGATAATAATGTGTTGTACGAAATTAGGAATTTTTGTCAAAACTGGAATTCCATAGTCCTCATTAAAATTTTTATTAGGTGATAATCATAACTATATTCATCCATGAAACACAGGAAGCCTAATGACTCTACAAGATGTATTTAACATTAAAGAACATGAATACTTATACCCTAAGTGTAGATTATAGTAATAGTAATTTTCAATTCATAGTGAACCCCCAATAATTCTATTACATCCGAAGGTTACATGTTTGTTAGAAGGGAATAATTCTATTGTTTGAAAAGTTTGCACGTAAGGAGGTTCTTAATCAGTTATCCATCATTTACTCGGACATCAAATTCTTGTGGTAGTAGTTACAAAAAGTAAAATAGTATTCAATAAAAGGAGTCCCACATTATGAACCACAGAGATCTAGGAATTGACTATCACATTCCACATTAAATCCAAACACGAATTCCATATAATATCAGTTACAATAACTAAAAAAGCATTCAACAAAAGGAAATCTAGATTTTGAACCACATAGAGTAAGTGTTGTACATCCCGTTTTACAAAAAACCTTACAATTTCAAAAGTGTTGGTTAGAAACATATAAGAAACTATAACCTATCCATGCCGTGGTTAAATGCACACCAAAAAGAAAGATGTTTTCCTGCCAACCGTAAAGTCTAAATTGCAGTTTTTTTGCCCGCTTTGAAACCTTCTTCGCCTTAGTAGAAGAAAGGTCCCCTTCACCAAAAGTTTTGCCCAATGAGTCAGTCTTATCATCGGGTGACATTATCTTAACGTTGGGTGTAGGGGTACCAGGATCAGCAATATTGGATGAAGAGATTTCACCATCCTGTAATCAGGAGAGTGAGCACCATTAGATATGTGGGATGTCGATGCAATGGATAAAATTATTAATCAAGTTAGAATGATAAAAAACTAACAGTCATTGTTTGGTTTGATTCAAAGGGGACGTCTTCACCGACGCTCTCCAACATTTGTAGGTAAAAAGGGTAGAAAATTAAAAAAAAACAAATAAGTAAAAACAAACGAAATACAATTAAAGAATGCTGTAGGATTACAGGGGGTAACAACATGTAATTACTAAGGTATATACCTGAACAGAGTTGGCTGCAACATCTTTTATGACATTTGGTTGATTACATGTGGACAATATTAATAATGTTTAGTGTAACACATTAATCCAAGTTTGGATGTGTTTCATATAGATAGGGTTGTTACCTGATTAATTCCAGTGACGACTACATTTCCTTCAAGTTTTTTAAAGACCCCCTCGTCCTTAAGATACATGGCAACAGAAGTGCTACTCCAACGAGGGATGCACTTCACCTTGAAGGAAAACTTCAACCCCAACATTGCATCCAACGCAAGGGGGAACTCAAGTGGGTCTGTTATTCCAGCCTATGTTTGAAACATAGTCATATATTAATTTATAACGTGTGGTTTAGCGTGGCGATAAAAAGTTACATAAAACATCGGTGTTCTTACCTTTATTATAGTGGAACGTACTTGTGCAGTCGAAGTTTTCAAAAGTTCAACGGATTTCAGGTCCCAAAACACAAAGTTATTAGTGTATCCATTTTTAATTACTCCAATGAAAATATTAAACCTAAAGTACATAACACAAAATAAGGATTCAACAATTTTATAAAAAAGGCTCATAGTTGTTGTAATAAACCTGTAACATTGACCTCCAAATCTCCGCCTCAGTCTGGCATCTATCCTGGAAAATGAATTGTGGATTGTCACCCTTCGCCACTTGTGGACATTTATGGCATGCTCTATAGTGCCATACATTAGGATCTGCAATAAGCTCGTCTGTAGTGGCGACAGTCACGCAAAATGTGGGTTATTTAGTTGGTTTCAAACATCATAAACGAATGTTGTGAAAACTCTCCATAGCACGATGAAAGTCAAAGAATAAAGGATAGGTTTGAACCTTATTTAATAGTGTTATTTCTTGGAGTGGGATGTGGAGATATTTTGAAAGTAACTTATCAGTGGGGGAAAAGTGAAATGCTGATGACTGCTGGGAGTATGCACACGTGTTGTTGGTACTACCACTTAATGATTTCCCCATTTGAGACACATAAGGTAAACTAACGGTGTAGTAAACAAAGACAAGTGAAGTTAGTGAAAATTTAAAAAACAAACACAGTAATAATGATTATAATATTGGCAGTGATATGTAAAGCTAAGAACCGTTGAAGAAACTCAGCAATCTCGTGAGTATCTTCATTAATTTGAAGATTTGATACATTATGTGTATTGGTGACCGCAAGAGGATATAATCCTACAAAGAAAAAACCTGGATTAGTAACGTAAAAAAAGTTAACGCTAGCAGATAGAGTTGAATAGGATTTCAAGATTCTTCCTTAACTTTCACAAACATTAGAACTATCGCAGTAGGTGCAGCAGAATCGGCTTGTTTTTGTTTGAACTAGAAAAACTCTGTTGCGTAGGATTCCCATAAAATACATTGCAAAGTGTTGTCCCTGTATGTGTTGCAGAAAAGTAATGAGTGTGTGTAAAAAAAATATAAGTCTTATCATTATAAAGTGGTATATTGACAGATATGGAAACGAACTCCAAGTCTCTCAGGATGAAGTTGATTTGAGCCTTTCTGCCGCCCATCTGTTATTGGGAGTATCCAACCTCGTCTACAACTCCAATGATGTCTACAAATAAATACCAGTAGTACTCTGAAATGAATGGTACACTAAAGTTAAAATGAAAACAACGGATTCAATTTATGTAGGTTTTTGACCAGTGAAGAGAGACTTCGGCCATGTGCCTGAAATGATATTAGCAAAAGGGGTTAAGGTTTTAATCTTTTCAGGAATCTCATGCTTTCCAACATTTACAACAGTTGTGCCACCAGTGAACTTCAAAATAAATTTGTGGCTTGTGGGTTTAAATAGCAAGTCGTTAGGGACCACTTGGAAGTTTGACATGGTGCACGTGGAGTTAACCAATAAAATAGAGTCAAATATATGCCTAATGATACTTGAAACTACCACTTGAATGTCATGTCCTTGCAACACAATACCTTACAATCTAAACATCAAATGGAACACGGTATGAACAAAGAAAAAAACAAAATAATACAAAAATAATGAAAGAAAATAACGAACAGAACAACAACCAATAAAGGAGAAAATAAAAAAAATTATCCATATATCTACAACAGTAATACTAAACAACATTCACCAATAACCCATAAATCCAATATAAAAATTTACACAGATTTTAGGGTTGGAAGAATGAAACTCACATGCTTGTCTACTATCTGTAACATTCCGATTTTTATTTAGTATTATTTAATCATTTTATTAATTAGTGTATTATATAGTAATTAATTTTATTGTGTGATTTGGTGAATATTTGAATTATTTGAATATGTGTGTTATTTGAATAATTGGATTTATGATTAAGAATAGAAAATAAATTAGAATTGGGCTTTTCGTCATAATAGAATGGGTAAGTGAAATTAGGCCCATTAATGAAATAGAGTAGTAAGAAGAGGGACTAGAATTAGTGTTGTCATAAAACAAAAACAAAGAAGAGAAGAGAAGAAAAGAGGAGATAGAGGGAAAAAGAGGAAAAGTGAAGAGGCAACCCTAAAGACTCTACACTCAAGATAAGAGTGAGAATTTGTGTTATTGTGGGAGTATGTATGATTAGATGATGGGTAGTAATATGTAATAGAATTGGGTATGTAAATTTCTAGGTTTTGAATCACCCAATTTGATTTAGGGATTTGGAAATTAGGTTTTGGAAATATAGTTTTTATTATATAAATAGGTTCCCTATGATATATACATGCTAGAATATGTTTAGTTGGTGAAAAATGGGCATTATAACATGTCTCTATGGTAATTTTCATGCACAAGTCAGTAGCTGTTCGCAGGAGAATTTTTTGCATAATTAGAAGGGTGCTTAGTGCGGCCTATGGCGCTTAGCACGAGTGGCTGGAAATGGAAAAAGGATTTATGCATGAATGGGATTTGAATCTTGTATGTTATGATTTATCATTGATTTACATGTATTTTAATAATTTATTTGACTTGATTCATATTGGTTTTGGAAGCATTTTGATGAGGAACTTAACACTTGAATTGTGTATGTAAGTGTTGGAATTTGATGATGTTTGAATATAGCATGATTTGTATCTAAGTGCTACATGTTATAATGATGTGTTGAGATTATTTATACTATGAGATTGTGTAAATGTGAATGATTGGCATGAAATATGTATGTTGTGCAATTTTGTGAAGATAATTCAAAATGTGTTGAATTATGTGATGAGTTGTTGTGATGAGTTGTTGAGATTGCACATGTACATGCATCATTTATGTCAAGAGGAAAGGTTTGGTAATTTCGTAGGAACTATTGACTTGTCCCAAACCTAACGCTTAATGGGGTTTGAAAGCTTAAGGATGAATTGGGCTTTTATTGGTGGTTATTTGTCTTGGAGATGTGGACCTGGCAGGACCGGTAAGGATAACATTGGTACCACGTGCATAATGCATTTGAGTTGCATTGGAGTCACATGTGTTTATATGAATTATTTATTTATTATGCATTATGTGATGTCGGTGTGAATGTTGTGGTTGGTGTGAAATGTGTGATGATTGAATTGATTGATATACTTGTGATAATGGTGATTGATTACATTTGAAAAATGAATGAATGAGCTATGTTTTATAAGAGAACATGTATGATGATTTATGTTTATGCCAAATGCATGACTATGTGAAGTGTGGTGTATTCTATTGTTGTACGTATATTTTACATTGTTTATGATTATACATTTTCATAATGATATGAATTCTCACTCTTCTGTTGAAATTATGTTTTATACGATATCGCTCAAGTACCGGAGATAGTGGTGGTTCTTGCCAGTATTAGAGGAGGAGCTAGATCCTTATTTATCTAATTATTTTTGGGTAGTGAGTCATTTCTCTGATCTATGTTACACGGGGGATATTCAAACTCATGTTTTGATTTGTTTTGAGAGATATTTGTTATTACTCTCTTTTACTTGGATATGTATGAGATTATGTGATGTTTGGCCTTAGTTACTAGTACTCATGATATGATCGTCAGTATGGGATTTCAACCATTTATATATTTATGTTGAGATACTTATTTCGCTGCAAGGTGCATATTTTATATTGGTGTATGAAACGTGAATTTGAATACGTGTTATGAGCATGACCAGTATGCATGTTTGAATTTTCTTTATTGTTTTGTGAAGTCAATTGTGACGCCTTCTTTGATATGTATGCCAATTTACTTTGATTATGCTATTTATGTCTATATGGGGTTAAAGGGTTTTACAATAGTGGTATCAGAGTAATGGTCGGTCAGATTGGCCAGGTTACTAATGTGTTTATTTCTGGTGGTATTCGATTTGTGTATGTGACACAATCGACACTATTTGTCTGACGAGTGTTGTTGGTTGTTCATTTGTTTGGAATCTAAGGGCGATGGTTTCTGGAAGGAATGATGATATTTCTGAGGCCTTAGGAATGTTGGCCAGATCTCTTGAGCAGATTCCACAGGAAAATGCTGGTAATAGAGATGAGGATGATGAGTTATGTGCTTTGGGGGAAATTCCAGAGGAACAATCCTTCAATATTTGAAGGAGAGCATGAACTTGATAAGGCACAAGTATTGTTGAAAGCAATTGAGAATATCTTTCGGGTCATGAATTGTACTGATGCGCAGAAGGTGCAGTTTGGTACTCATAAGTTTGAGAAGGAAGCTAAGGATTGGTGGAACAACACTGTTTAGTGGTTTGATGAAGATGGTATTGTGGTTAGTTAGGCTCTTTTCTGTGATGCTTTTCTGGAGAATTATTTTCCAAAAGATGTGCGTGGTAAGAAAGAGGTGGAATTCCTTGAGCTAAAGCAGGGTAATGGGACTGTAACTGAGTATGCTGCAAGGTTTCAATAGTTTATTAAGTATTGTCCTCATTAAAATACCGCTAATGCTGAGAGGTCTAAGTGCCTTAAGTTTGTGAATGATTTGAGACCTGACATCAAGAAGGCTATTGGTTACTAACAAATTGCTCATTTTCTGAGTTGGTGAACAAGATTAGGATTTATGATGAGGATAGTAAGGAGAGTGCTTCTTACTATAAGTCTTTGAATGATAAGAAAGGGAAAGGTCAATTTCGTGGAAAACCTTATGTGTCTCCTAATGAAAAAGGGAAGTAGAAAGCTGGTTATGATAGGAAGTCGAGTGGGGGAGGAGCTCACACTCCAGTTATATGCTACAGGTGTGGTGTCGAAGACATCATGTTACTAAGTGTACAAGTGTTAAAGTGAAGTGTTTCAAGTGTGGCAAGTTTGGTCACAAATCTCCTAATTGCAGAGGTGTTTCAAGTGTGACTTGCTACAACTGTGGTGAGCAAGGTCACATTAGTACCAAGTGTGACAAGCTGAAGAAGGACCAAGTGAAAGGAAAAGTGTTTTCATTATCTACTGAGGATAGACTAATTCTAGGTACGTGCTTTATTAATGGTACACCTTTGATTTCTATTATTGATACTGGTGTGATGCATTCTTTCATTTACTTGGATTATATTAAGAGGTTAAATATTGAGTTATCTTTTATGCATGGAAGTATGGTTATTGATACTTTTGCCATGGGTTCTATAACTACTTCTTATGTGTGTTTGAGTTGTCCGTTGAGTATCTTTGGTAGAGACTTTGGGATTGATTTAGTTTGTCTTCCGTTAGATTAACTTGATGTGATTCTTGGTATTAATTGGTTGGAATTCAATCATGTTTATATCAATTGTTTTGATAAAACAGTTATATTTCTTGATTCTAATTTTGAGAGAGATTTGTTTATGTCTGCTAAGGAAGTGAATGAGTCTTTGCAAGATGGTGCTGTGTTGTTGGCTTTGATGGAAACATTGGAAATTGATGGGAAATGAACAATTGGTGAAATGCTGATAGTTCGTGATTTTCCTGAAGTGTTCCCTGATTATATAAATGATTTGCCGCCAGATCGTTAAGTGGAGTTTACGATCGACTTGGTTCCTTGAACTAGTTCGGTATCGATGGCTCTATATCAGATGTCTGCATCTGAGTTGAAAGAGTCAACTTGAGGATTTACTTGAGAAGAGGTTTATTTGTCTGGGTGTGTCACTGTGGGGTGCACCTATTTTGTTAGTTAAGAAAAAGGAAGGTTCTATGAGGTTACGTGTGGATTATAGACAACTGAATAAGGTGACTATTAAGAATAAATATTCACTTTCGAGAATTGATGATTTGATGGATCAGTTGGTTGGTGCAAGTGTGTTTAGTAAGATTGATTTGAGGTCTCGGTATCATCAGATTCGATTTAAGGCTGAAGATATTTAGAAGACTGCTTTTAGGACGAGGTATGGTCATTATGAGTATTTTGTGATGTTGTTCGGTGTGATGAATGCACCTGGTGTGTTTATGGAATACATGAATATAATTTTTCATTAGTATTTTGATCAGTTTGTTGTTGTGCTCATTGATGACATTTTGATCTATTCTAAGAGTGAAGAGGAACATGTTGAGCATTTGAAGATTGTGTTATCCGTGTTGAAGGATAAGCAGTTGTATGCTAAGCTTTCAGAGTTTGAGTTTTGGTTGAATGAAGTGAGTTTCCATGGTTATGTGATATCAAGGGGTGGTATTGTTGTTGATCCGTCGAAGATTGAGGATGTGTCTCAATGGAGAGCTCCAAAATCTATTTTCAAGATTAGAAGTTTTCTTAGTTTAGCAGGTTATTATTGAAAGTTTATTGAAGGTTTTTCCAAGTTGGTGTTACCATTGACGCAGTTGATTAGAAAGGGTCAAGCCTTTATTTGAGCTGCACAGTGTGAAGCTGGTTTTCAAGAGCTTAAGTGAAGGTTGACAATCGCTCCTATTTTGATTTTGTCAAATCTGGCAGAATATTTTTTGGT